GGTCTGGCTTACCTCACTCAGGATAGTGTTTTCTATTTCCATCCATTTGTATGCAAAATTCAAGAAGTCCTTGTTTTTTACTGCTGAGTAGTACTCTAATATGTATATATTCCATACTTTCTTCATCCATTCTTCCATTGAAGGACATCTAGGTTGTTTCCAGGTTCTGGCTATTATAAACAATGCTGCTGTGAACATAGTAGAGCATATACTTTTGTTGTATGATAAGACCTCTCTTGGGTATATTCCCAAGAGTGGTATTGCTGGGTCCAGGGGTAGGTTGATCCCAAATTTCCTGAGAAACTGCCACACTGCTTTCCAAAGTGGTTGCACAAGTTTGCATTCCCACCAGCAATGGATGAGTGTACCCCTTTCTCCACAACCTCTCCAGCAAAGGCTATCATTGGTGTTTTTTATTTTAGCCATTCCATGCAGGCTTTTTACATAGATTCTGGGGGGTGAACTCAGGTCCTCATGCTTCCAAAGAAAGCATCTTCTCAAACAAGCCATCTCCCTAGCCACCCCCCCCCCCCATTTCCATTCTTAAATGAGAAAACTGAGTGGGGGAAGGGAGATCAATGGCTGAACCCAAGTTGTTAGACGCCCGCCCTGGGAATAGCATTGAGCATTGCCCCACCATCTACGAACTGTAACCACAATCTACGAGCTGTAATCAAAGCTCAGAAGTGATTTGCTGGATTTTGATAATGAAACTAGATATACTGTCCCAGAGAAAGCCCTAGATTAAATATCACTTATGAACAAGTGGATTGTGCTTTTTCCCTCAAGACAAAGATCCCAGGGGTGGAGTGATGGCCCCTGCTGCCTTTGCGGAGGATCAAAGTTGGGTTCCCAGAACCCATATCAGGCTGCTTTAAGCTCCAGCTCCAGGGGGACCTGATGCCCTGTTCCGGGGGATCTGATGCCCTCTTCTGGCTAATGAGGGCACTGCACACAGATGCACATACCCACACACAGACACACTTGAAGATAATTTAAAAAAAAAAAACAAACATGAAAAGAAAAATCCTTTTGTTTCACATTGTCTGCAGAGAGGCCTCGGCTCCCTCATTTCCAGCTCCCCCGTCCTCACACTGTTGGGGCACCCTCTTTACCAGGGTCACATAGGTGACACAGATTCACGCATTTAAACTTTCTTGCCTGTTTCTCTAAGACAGACCAATGGTATAACATCAAACAATGAGTCCATTTGTCTCCATGACCCATGGTCTTTGAAGAGTATCTTAACTGGGGACTGTCCCACGCTTTCCCTGGTAAGAGTTCTCAGTAAACACCATCACGGTTCGCGATCGCTCGCGGCAATTATGGTGGTTTATAACTCTCCTCCCTCTCACACTAGCCCTTGATCCTAAATGTGCACTTTCAGGCGTCAGGCGTTAGAATAAATTAGACTATACAATTACATGTAATTAAAGGGAAACGGCCGTGGCGATGCACAGATAGCTGTGTGTTGCTGAAGTAAAGCCTGTCTGCGACCGTGTGCTGGCCCGGGGAGGCCATATGAAATACAATTAGTGTTCTGTTTTAATGGGGACTTATGGAGCTGCTCTCATTATCACAATATCTGAAGATATAGAAACAGTTTCTTCCTAATACCAGGGTATTTCTCCTGATAAGACAGCTTGGGTTCTAATGAGGATTTCAGCACAACAAACCACAAATTCATACTGTTTTGCAAGATACTCAAATTTCTATTTTCAAAGCCCAGCACAGCCCATCTCGACTCAGGAGCTGGGGGGAAGGATCTCGACTCGGAGAGGAGCTGCAGGCTTCTCCTGGAGGGGTGAGTCACGGCCAAACTTGCATGCATTATTAAAGCCACCTGTGGCCCAGAGTGTGAGGCCTCAGCTGGAGCCTCCAGTCTCCAGCCATGTCCCTCCGTTTAGTGTTTCTCCTTTACACGCCAATTTGTTTGAGACATGTTAAAAGGTTGTCTTTTATAACCCCCATAAACTACCATCGACTCTGGCCCAGATGCAGCCAAAAAAAAAGTTTAAGCAATCTGCCTGGGTTTCAACCTGTGGGCTGAGATGCAGAAAGTCTCAGAAAGAGGCATCTGGGTTCCCACCATTGCCAGAGAGTCAAGGAGTAAGAAAGGACCCTACAGGGTGAGTAGAACCCTCGATGTCCTGTATAACAAACTCCCAAGGGACTCCCAAAGGAGAAAAGCAAGGCATGGGGTGTCAGAACAAAGGGTGTCCAAGTTAAACTAATAATGGAGGTGGGGGGACAGCCTGGCAGTCTGGGGAGCTTGCAAGGCTCCACAGCTGTCCAGCTGGGGCATTTGTAGTGATGGATGCCATCAGGGGCACAGGGCATGTGAAAGAAAGCTGGCCTAGACCATGTGCTTAGAAAGGCGGGGACAGGAGACTCAGGAAGTCCTGAAGGTCTGGGGACTCTGTTTTAGCCTACCCTGGCCAGAGTTGAACTGTGGAAGAGGCCATGACTCCCCAGGCTGGGGAACAAATGACGCTGAAGCCCCTCACATTTTTAGATAGTCATAGAAGTTTTTGAGTGGGCTGGGAGTCCTCAGAAACCTGGAAGGAGCCTGGGCCGCAGCCCGAGGCCGAGGCCAGCAGGGTTAGGAGTTCACTAAGACTTGGGGAAGACTGTGAATGGAGAGATTTTGCAGACCCTCCGGGTGCCTTAGCTGTTGTTCCTTAAACTCTGACCCCCCTCCTCAGCAAAGAATGAGGCGGGGTCAGGTGCCTATGTTAGATCTTTTAATTGCAAAGCAGAAAGAAAACATAAAAGAAATCGAGTGTGCTATCTTCCTCCAGTGCCCAGGCCCAGCTGGGCGACTGTGAGCCTCCTTTCCTGGAATTTCTGGGGGACACACCCAACTACGGAGAGAACCACCATATGAAGGACAAGGGTGTGATCATACTGTGGTTCTTGAACTGTTTTGTGGTGTAAATCCCCAACTTTTAGAACATTCTCCAGAACCTCAAAGCAAACAGGATGCATGTTCCAGCCCTGACCCTCCCTCCCTTTCCTGCCCTAGACTTCCATGAGACACTGGGAAAATCATTATTGCAGTGAGGTACCTGGTCCAATGCTAGGCACAGCCTCTGCAGTGGGGCGGAAGGGAACAGGGGACCGAAAGCCACCTGCCCATCCACAGTGGGCTGTGGGCAAGACCCTAACCTCTCTGAACAGCCATGTTCTCCAAAGATTGTGGACGAACATTTCCAGCGATGACCAGGTGCAGATGCTCTTCAGTTGGCCATAGAACCTGCTGGAAGGGTGCTTCCCAGGAGGAGAACCCAAGTCACGGCACACAGTGTGGGGTGTTGTAAATATAACATTACATGCTGCCGAGAAAGAGTAGAAAAAGATACCATATAAACTTGTTTGGTGTTGTTTGCATGCTTGTGAGACAGTCTCACTATATAACCTGGTTTGACTTGGGATGATCCTCCTGCCTCAGCCTTCCATATGCTGGGATCACAGGTGTGAGCCGTGTCCGTGACATCAAAACTGATCGCACCTGCTTTTCTACCTGTTTTAATTTTTTGTTTTTAAGACTTTCTTTTTTTTTTTTAATGGGTCTCCTAGACCTCCAGCTGGTCTCTGACTCACTGTGTAGTAGAGGGTGACCTTGAATTTCTGATCCTCCTGCCTCTGCCTCCCAAGTGCAGGTGTAAGTCATCACACTTTCTAGTTCCAATTCTCAGAAGTTCTTAGTTACAGGAGCAGCCTAACACGTGCCTCCACTGAACAGTACCGTGGGGAGTGTGGCCCTTCCTGACACCACACACACACACACACACACACACACACACACACTGAACAGTGCCCGGAGAGTGTGGCCCTTCCTGACACCACACACGCACATCCACTGAACAGTGACCAGGGAGTGTGGCCCTTACACACACACACACACACACACACACACACACACGCAGCCACTGAACAGTGCTATGGGAAGTGTGGCCCTTCCTGACACACACACATCCACTGAACCATGCTGTAGGGATTGTGGCCCCTTCTTATGCAGCACTAATGCTGGAAGAAAGGGGGAGGTGTCTTTTTGTTGTTGTTGTTCCTAAAAGTGAATACCCCGACATTCTGTATCCAGCCATAACTGCACACTGGCCAAAGGTAAGACCCTGGCTTGGAAAAGCAAGTTTAGGATTAGTACAAAGAGGAGCCTAGAGCCCCTAACCCAGTCAAAACAATTTGTCTGAACTTTAGATAAACAGTAGAGATTTTTCTGTTTGTTTTTTTTTAATCTCCATGGGTGCCCTGTTATTTTTACTTATTAAATTTGACAACACTATCCATCAGGAAACTAGAAAAATCCCACCAGGGAAAAGAGGATTTGTAAGATAAGTACAGCCTGGAATTTCAGATATTATCCCAGAGCTTGGTTTCTTGGGTTTAGATCCTGATCCATTGCTTGTAACTGTCTGACCTTGGGCCAATAACTTGGAACGCTCTGTGTCTTGGTTTCAATATCTATAAATGGATAGAATACCATGGAGGATTTTCAGGGTTATGCTTCCACCCAAGGCCAGCGCTGTTCCCCTGCAGGGTCAGTTCCCCCCAGCTCATTGGCTGCACTTTCTGCAGCTACTGGTGGGCTCTTCACCCTCCCCTAGCAGCCAGTGTCCCTCAGACCTCTGGTGGCTTCGGGAGGGCAGAAATCGCGCAGACAGCACCACCTGGAGTCGAGTTTTCTCTTTACCAAGGGAGCCGGCCTCTCCTTTCTTTCCCACTCCCGGCCCATGCCTGGGCAACGCTTCTGCTTTCGCTTGAGCTCAAGTTAATTTTTCAGAGAGCTTCGGAGAGGCGTGGGAAGGTCCCGGGCGCGTGGGCAGTTCCTCCCTCGATCTAGCTCGGGAATCGGCCCGAGCCGGCGTCTCCAATGGCAAGTGTGTGCGTGTGTGTTTAGAGGCGAGCTCTGGGCTTTCAGCAAAGGCAGCCGGGTGTTTGCAAACCAGGGCGAGCCCCTGTGAAAGCGGATAAAAGAAAACATTTATTAACGTGTCATTACGAGGGGCAGCGCCGGGCCGGGGCTGTCGTACGCCTCAGGGAATACTTGGCTCCTCGCGGCTGGGTGGGAGGAGGACAAGAAAACGGAAAGAGGCTGGATTCTCTGCGCGCCAGCCTCGGGGCCTGATCCATGGCCCTCGCGACTTCGCGCCGGTGTCTGGTGGACTAAGAGATGCGCCCCTGGGCCGAGTGGAACACACGCGCGCACACACGCACGCGCGGTCCCGGCTCGCCGGCAGCTCGCTGCTCAGCTTACATCGGTTTCAACTCCGCGCCCAGGGCGAGCGGGAGCGGGTGCGGGTGAGTGCGCCCGGGGCCCGCGAGGGTGCGCGCTCGGCGGCGGGAGCGCGGCCGGCCACCGGCTCGGCAGGCAGCAGGCCGGGAGCCGCCGGGACTTGTGGCCGGGGCGCACGCGGGACGACCGCGGAACCGGAGGTGAGGCGCGATGGCTAGGTCGCTGGGTCCCCGGCCGGGCGGGAGGCGGCCGGGTCCAGGGTCCTGGAGCGCGCGGAGCCCGGGGCGGGCGGGGCGGAGCAGAAGCCGGGATGCAGCGGCGGTAGCCGGGGCAGCGGCAGCGCGGAGTCCCCTACGCCCCGCGGCCCGGCCCGGCCCGGCTGCGGCAGAGGCGCGGTGAGGCCGCGGGGGCCGCGTTGTGAGTGGGGCTCGGGACCGGGCCGGGATCACGGATTCCAGGGCGAGCACGGCTCAGGTGAGCCCAGTGGGTCCCCGCTGCTCCGCTCCTGGAGGGTGGCACCCGGAGGCTTCAGCGCCGGCCAGCCACAGGGGGCTGACCGGTTTGACCCCGTTTGTGAGGCTGGGCGGCAGGGGGGGGGGGGAGGACTTCTCGCTGCGCTCCGGTGCTCCCCGGGGAAGGGCGCCTGGACCCGAGGGCTGCAGGAGCATGGCCGGGTTGACCCCTTGGGGTTTATACCCAGAGGGCCAGCTAAAAGCCAGGTCACGTGCAGCTTGTCTGGGCAGGACCCAAGCAAGCAGGGACTTGGAACTCGCAGAACCGAGGACAAATGAAATCGGAAAACTTCTCCCGCGCCAGGTCAGAACCCATCGCCCAGCAGACCTGCGTCCGCCGCGGGCTCCAGAAGCCCGAAGGGGACGCTGCAGCGGGGAACTGCGACTTCATTTAGAGTAGTTCATTCATTCATTCGACAGCATTTGTGGAGCTTTAAGCGTGCCAGGCACGGAGTGTTACCCCGGAAAGTGTGGATGGCAGTGTTAGTCCCTGCTAGGGCGGCTGGGCGAGGAGGCTCAAAGCGGGCAGATGGAGGGAGCCACCCGCGGACCGTAGGTCTGCTTGGTGGCTTCTGTCTGGCGGGGACCCTGAGAGCCTGTCTCCCCACACAGTAGGATGTTCTGCACAGAGCGCGGCTGTGGTGACCCCCGCCTCTCCCCACTTCCTGAAAGTTCTGAGCGGCCCGACCCCTTCTGAATTGGCTCTCTTGCAGCCTGTTTTAATCACTTTTTGAGTTAAAAGTCAATATTTAATTAACCAAGTAATTACGTTCAGCTTACGTTTGATTCTAGATATTTGCCGTGTCTATGGGGATGCCCGCCCTCTCCCCTCCATCTGTCCCTGCCTCTTTCCCACGGTGCACCCCCAGTCTACTCTGGAGGTGAGTGACAGAGAGCAGGTGACACTGGCTTTCCCTGGGGACACCCTGGATTCTCTCCTCCACCCCCTCCAAATTGTTCATCTTACAGTTTGTGGGGACCGTCACCGGGCCCAGCTCCTTGCCCGCAGGGGATCAAGTAAGATGTAACCACTGATTAAAAGGGGGTGGGAGCTCCCTGAAGACCCCTCCCCCCAAGATGCTCCACCCAGCCTGGCTAGTCCTCAGGAAAATCAAAACAACCTGTTTCTGCGCGGTTTGGTGTTGTAATCAGCAGTTGGTTGATGATGGTGTTTGTTGGCTTGGCCGATGTAATGCTGGACCCGCTGTCCCAGCCCTGCCTGGGAGGCAGTGTGGCTTTGGACTTTGTGTAACCCTCTTGAGGTTTTTTTTATTTGAATTTATGGCTTTTTCTGAAACCTTAATAGCATGTTAGGTTTTCAGAATTAAGGGTGGAAGGGTAGATTTGCTGAGACAAGGCTGGCCCTGAGGAAGGAGCTAAGCACACCCGTGTGCAGTCTCTGTGTGTGCCCCTGTGTCCCCCTGGCCCACACGGGCTGTATCCAAGGACCCCATCCCATGTGCAATTTCACACCGGATGTTCAAAATGCCTTTTAACTGGGGAACTGAGTCTCTCCCCTGTGCCTGGCCTTGCTGGCTTCTGGCCCCTGGGTCAGCGGGGATTCTCACTCAGACATTATCTAGTCTTAGACTCTGCCCTCTCTGAAGACCTGAGGCCCTTCCTGCCTTTCTGACCAGTTCAAAGGAGTTTCCTCTTCACCTCAAAGATAGCGGCCAGGAAGTGTTATAGGCCCTTAGACACAAGTCACGTGTCCACACGAAATCCCGGCGCTGTGGCTTGAATACCATGCTCAGTGGTACATTCCTCAGGCTCCAGGTCCTCTGAACCACTAGGCCCTTGTCCTCTAGGGGCTTAGATATTTTCTAAATGTAGGGGGCGAGAAAGACCCGACCAGTGAAACAGCAAAGCTCTGGAAGCTGGAAGCCCCTCCGAATCCTTTCCCTCCTCCAAGAACCTCATGTTTTGGATGAAGGAGGGAGGTGCCCTAGTTTGCATTGTTGCTGTTGTTGTTTTCCTCTGGTGGTTTTTTGCCCTCTCTTCTTCCCTGGCGTTCGTCTCCCTCCCCTGGTCTAGATGCAAAGGTTCTCTCAAATGTGGCCAATGAAAAGCGTGCTGAGGTTAGGATTTTTAGCTCCTCAAAAGCACAAGGAAGAGGTAGGACACGGTGGGAGTGAGACCCTCTTGTGGCTGCTGGTGGAGTGGCCTCAGAGGGAGTCCCTGGCACTTGGTTTCAGGCTGGACTCTGTGTGTCAGTGAAAAGGAAAAAGTGAACTTCTCCGTGGTGACCTGCAGGCCAGGACAATGGCTATGGCCAGCCCCAGGGACTGGCCTAGTGGAGACCCCGGCAGATGCCCATCATCCAGCCGGCTTCAAGGCGCTATCTAATTGGGAGATCATTAAGATCATTATAATTAATTGGCATCCTGATAAATGGCGTGATTGCCTAATTGGGGCGGTTGCTAGGGAACTAGACCTCACTTGGAGCCTAGAGGGGAAGAGGCAGTGGCTGGCTGCAGTTGGGCGCTGGGGTTACAGACCTTGCAGTTCATGGGCGGAAAGCCAGAACCGTTTCACCCATATCTGCCAGCAGCTGCCGAGTGCAATTGCCGATGAAATGTGGGCTCGGGGTGTTTTCTTCTAAGGGCTCCAATCAGGACCCTTTCTCTTGCAAGCCATTGAAAGAGAGGCTCTGAAATCACTCAGAGGCAAAAGAAAAAATGTCTGCTGCCTCTCACGGGTCCCCAAATCCTAAGGCATCCCTGGCATCAGGTACTGCTGGATCGGGGCTCAGCAATTGCCATACACGCCATTCTTCTCTGCTCTGCCCTCCACCTCGCTCTGCACCGTCTTCAGCACTAGAGCTGCAGTCTCTGGCAGCCCCAGGCTGGCTGTTGAAGACAGCCAGTCTGTCTGGCCACCTGCCCAGCAATGGCATGGGGGCGTGTGACTCAGTCGTTAGATGCCTCCGTGTTCTTATTCAACAAGTGACGAGGGTAAGTCCTCACGCCCTTCCCTGAGTCTGTGGACTGGGGTGAGATCATCAGTGCCGAGCGTTAGCATCTGTCCCGAGCGTTAGCATCTGTCCCAGGCACACCTTGACTGTTATCACCCTGGAGATGCCCGGCAATGCCACTGAGTGGCTGCCCTCTCACCTCTGTGGTCACAGCCCAGTAGAAGCAAGCCTCTTTGCAGCGACAGCCCCCCGGGCCCCTAGATGCCCTCCCATGAGATAGTAAGTTATGCGTGCCTCAGATCACAGTCTGGATTGTGGGGGGGTGGCTTCTGGGTCCCACAAACTGGGGGTCCCCTGGAAAAGGGAAGCCTGGACATTTGGGAAACCAGAGCCACCTGTGTAGGCAGCCATGGTCAGAGGAGCCTGTCTGTCAGCATCCTAGCTGAGGTGAGAACCACAGGGACATCACCACCTTCGCCTTTCTGCTTGGGAACAAGAACCTAACTGAGCCACTTCGGTGGAGAAAGCTGCAGCCTGGCTTTGATCCAGAGCTTTCTGGGGGCTGAGTTTGCCTGGCCCTCCACTGTGAAAATCATCTTGAAGTGTTTGTTTTAAAAAAAATGTAAAGTCCTAGGAAGGAGCAAAGCATCCTGCTTATGTCCAAGCCGGCAAAAGGTTTGGAAGAAGGCCTTTTCTTGTCCAGGTGTGGGGCAGCAGTGTGCGTGGGTGCTCCAGATGAGAACAGGGGTAGAGAGGTGTCAAAATGCACCCTTGCCTTGAGCATGACAACCTTCTGGGCATTGTGCAGGCCCTGTTACTGCAGAATCCCACTACCACACAGGGCCCAGTACCACAAGGGCTCAAGTACCTCGTGGTTCCCAGTACCTCATGAGTCCCAGTACCACAGGTCCAGTCCCAGTATCTTATGGGTCTCAGTACCTCATGGGTCCTAGTACCTCACAGGTCTCAGTACCTCACGGTTCCCAGTACCTTATGGGTCCCAGTACCTCACTGGTCTCAATACCTCACGGGTCTCAGTACCTCACAGGTCTCAGTACCTCACGGGTCTCAGTACCTCATGGGTCTCAGTACCTTACGAGTGCCAGCTGTCCCTAGTAAGCACCTGACAAGAGCCAGGTGCTACCTGAGGACCTAGCTTATCAAGAGAGAACCCAGTCCTCCAGAGGGGAAGGCCCCAACAGCAAGCAGTGAACAAGGCCAGGCCACCATCAAGGCCGTTCATAACATAACTACAAAACACAGCAATGAAATCCAAGGCAGTTTCACGAGTGTGGAGCACAGAGAGGAAACTTCAGGCAGGTGATCCAGAGAGGTCTCCCTGCAGAGGAGACCCTCTGAGCCATGGCCTGAAGTGTAGGAAGAGACTGGCCTCAGAAGAGCTGAGGAGAGAGCATTTGAGGGGGTAAAAGCAGCCTGTGCAAAGGCCCTGAGGTGGAGAGGACACAGACGCCCAGCAGAGTGAGCTGTGGAGGGGAGGACAGAAGTATGACATTCAGACTTTATTTTAAATGACATGGAAAACTGATAGAGGAGGGTCTGTGTGTTACTTTCGTTGGTTAATAAAGAAACTGCCTTGGCCCTGATAGGACAGAAAATTAGGGAGGCGGAGTAGACAGAACAGAATGCTGGCAGAAAGAAGCAGATTCAAGCAGACCCTATAGCTCTCCTCTCCAAGATGGACGCAGGTTAAGATCCTTCCGGGTAAGACATCACCTTGTGGTGCTACACTCATTAATAGAAATGGGTTAATCAA